GTGCCCTAAACGGGCGCCGGTACCTGCCGTTGCTCCAGCACAACCCAATTTTCTTTCTGGCGATGCCTGGAGGAAGCGTGTTGTTCTGGGAGCAGCGCTGCGCGTGGCCGTGTCCCCCAGGGAGGGACGGGGGGGCGGGCGCAGAGCCAGAACCGGCGTCCAAGGGGTGCGTCATCGCTTACGGGTTTTGCTGGTGCTGGAACTGCCCGGGCTGGGCTGCGTCTGGCTCCCAAGCGGCGCGGGGTGGCCTCGGCGCAGCTCTCCCCGGGCTGGCGGGATCCTGGCGGGGTGATGCACGTCCATCAGCTTGTCCAGGGGGGTTGTGCCTGCTTGCTTTGTGAAGCAGAAAAGCTGTCGTATCCAAGAAGTTGCTTAAAGGGAGCAATTCTGGACCGGATGGATATTCATAAGGCTGCACATCGTCCTCTGTGGTGGAGAAATTTCTGCTGTTTCTTTATGTGCAGTGGTGTCACGCAAGAGGACGTCTGAGTGTCCTGCACCAAGCGGCGCTCGGCAGGCAGGTTACCTGGGCTGCGTCCTCTGCACGGGGCGTTATGAGAAGTTGAATCCGTGCAGCGGGCCGCAGGCTTTCCAGGGGGGACGGATTTGTTCTGCTGTCCAATTCCGTTCCCCCAAGCACTGAGCTGAGAAACTTTGTGTTTTCTAAAAAGCTCCGCTAGCTCAGTCAGCGGATGAAGGCAGGTCTGCGTCCACACGTGCTCCCTAACGTGGTGGAAGCGGAGGACGTTCTCCAAGCCCCGGGACCGGGACAGCGTGCTCTGCTCAGTGGAGCGTTTCATGTTTGGTTTAATTTTAAACTGTTTTTCCTCTGATGAACTGGCTGTTTGCCCTTTGGTGCTTGCTAGTCTCTGAGTTGAGAGAAACCCTTTCTTTTTTTTTTTTTTTTTTTTTTTTTTTTTTTTTTTTTTTTTTTTTTTTTTTTTTTTTTTTTTTTTTTTTTTTTTTTTTTTTTTTTTTTTTTTTTTTTTTTTTTTTTTTTTTTTTTTTTTTTTTTTTTTTTTTTTTTTTTTTTTTTTTTTTTTTTTTTTTTTTTTTTTTTTTTTTTTTTTTTTTTTTTTTCCTTGGAAGATCACGAGCACCTTTGCCGGCTGGTGGCTCATGCTGGCCCTATTTCATCCCTCAGGCTAGGAGATGTCACCTTCCAAATGTGGCATATGGAGCTTAGGCTTAAACTGTCTCCTTTCCAGGCTAAAAGATATGTCAGGAGGAAGAAAAATGCCTCTGAGCAGTGCAGAAAGCACAAGACCGCTGTGTGGCCTTGCTCATAGAGCAGCCAGGCCAGCTCTGCACCCATGTCCTATCCCTCGCTGCTGCTGGTGGCATCCTGGGGACGATGCCGATGGTGGCACGTGATCCCTGCTCCCAAGGTCTGTGGTGGTGGTTCCTCAGGCTTGTCCGTCACCCGCGTCCTTCCCTTGTCTTTCAGATGTCCTGCACTAACCTGGCCCATGCTGGAAGGACCTGCCAGCTTTAGCCAGCCCGTCCTCCGAGGCTGAAGATGGTGTTGAGGTCCTGCTGAGGGCAGAAGGGCAAACGAGCCAACCCGCAGCTTGCCAGCTCCCTGCACCACCGCATCCCCCTACGAGAGCCATGGAGGCCCCCCTGGACGTGCCAGTGGGCAACCTCATCGACTTCGACGCCGAGACGCCCGCCCCCGCAGAGCGCTCGCCTCCGGACCCCCCC